ACCCCTCTTTCAGTCTTTACTTAAATATAGAGAATCTGACAATTCTCTGTCAAAAACTTTGCACTGGGATGGCAAAATTGTAATTATTACCCAAATTAAAAATGTTGTGTTTAGGGGTGACTAGGTGGCTCATATGGTTAAGCATCTGACTTTGGCTTGGGTCATGATCTCACAGTCCCTGGGTTTGAGCTCTGTGCAGACAGCTCAGAGCCTGGAGCCTGCTTCAAATAGTGTCTCCCTCTCTCTGCCCCTTCCCTGCTCATGTTTGGTCTCTCTCAAAATAAACATTAAAAATTAAAAAAAAAATGTCATGTCCAAAAGTCTATTCTGATTGACTTTAAATAGAAACATATAAGTATAAATAAAAAAATATAATGGAGTAGGAACTTGGAGCTAAAAAATACGGACTGACCCAGAGGATTCCCTAAGCATGGGACCTCCAGTATTTGACAAGTATACTGGATAGAATTAACATGATGAATCTGACCTAATCTGTTTTTTTTTTTTAATTTTTTTTTTCAACGTTTATTTATTTTTGGGACAGAGAGAGACAGAGCATGAACGGGGGAGGGGCAGAGAGAGAGGGAGACACAGAATCGGAAACAGGCTCCAGGCTCCGAGCCATCAGCCCAGAGCCTGACGCAGGGCTCGAACTCCCGGACCGCGAGATCGTGACCTGGCTGAAGTCGGACGCTCAACCGACTGCGCCACCCAGGCGCCCCTGACCTAATCTGTTTTTAAAGAGTCTCATCATCTGGGGGAGGAGGCGGACTTCTTTGACAACAGATGGGCGGGAAGGTGTGTGGCTGGGTTAAAAGAGCAGGGGTCGGCAATTCCGAATCTCTGGAATGAAGGTGTGTGCCAGGTTAAAAGTGCCTTGCCTGGTTCTGGAGGCAGGAGAGCAAACCCACGGAATGGATCTAACTCCCCATCCTGGCAGCATGGCTGATGGTGGAAGCCTTGGTTTCCGTTCAGTTGTGGCTTTTTATTAGCACAGGCTCCAGTTCCTCAGGCTCACACCATTAGAATCAGTGACACATGTCGCTAACTGATTTGCGGCAAAAGTTCTGAACTAAGCCACCATCAGAAACATGTTTTTTCAAGGTCATTGATTGAAATCAAATCATCAGCATAAATGTCTAATTTCAGGCCACTTCCATATATAGGAAAAGAGGTTTATTGCTAATGTTTATGTAATACTTAACTATGAGCCAGGCACCTCTACTACGGTCTAGACTTGGACTTTACTCATTATAGTACTTAGAAACTTCCCATCTCCACCCCTTTCTAACTGGAGAAACTAAAGCAAGGGGTAATTAAGTAGCTTGGACAACGTCACAAAGCTAGTGAGTCAGGATTCAAACTCAAGAGGATGCCAGGACTTGCCCTCTGGATTATCAGACTGGCTCTTTTATAAAGCATCTATTTTAGGAGTGCCTGGGTGGCTCAGTCGGTTAAACGTCCGACTTTTAAAAAACATTTTTAGTGTTTATTTATTTTTGAGAGAGCGAGTGAGTGAGCAGGGGAGGGGCAGAGAGAGGGAGAGAGAATCCCAAGCAGGCTCCTTGCTCTCAGCACAGAGCCTGATGGGGGGCTCAAACCATGAACCATGAGATCACAACCCAAGCCAAAACAGAGTCTGATGC